GTCAATGCGAGTAAACATGCTGCTGGTTGGCTGGGGATTTTAGTGTGAGGATATGGCGGTGAAGTTGAGTAAAGAAGTCTTTGTGGCTGGCATTTATAGTTGGAACTATTAATGTTACGAGCTTGCAGATTCAAAAGTTTGCGATTATTTCAACTATGTCCAGAGTTAGTTGAACTTTGATTAATGCCGCACTTTCTCTCTCTTTACGGGTAAGAAATTTCTCTTTTACTTCAATTTCATACTCTAAACTACTTGCAGAAATTATTGTAATTCTGTCATTTTCCAATTTTTCCACCAGCATTTATGGCTCTTACATACGTCCCCCCCTCTCTCTCTCTCTCTCTCTCTCCCCCCTGTATAATGCATGTATATGCGACGTACAACCCCTTAGGCCAAATGTACAGTCAAATGGAGTTCTTGCCGCGTGTGCATTAACGGGCGTAGTATGAATCGGGTTGGGGTGCATGAACTGTGTAGGGATCAGTGGATCCCAGTTCTGTGCACAGAGAAATCATTAAATGCTGGGAGAAAGACGGAAGGCCAAGAGAGAGCTTGTTAAGTCATGTTTGGCTATGCTCAAAAACGTTCAATAAATTTATAAATAAAAATAACTCTAAAATTAAATATATTTTTCTTGAAAAATATGACTTTTCACTAATTTTATACTCAAGAAATCTAAATCAAACACGTCCTAAATAAAATGCTTTGGCATAGAAATGGTCATTTACTTTTACATTTGTAACATTTTTTTACAAATAGTAGAGATGAATATTTTCACATGAAACACTTCAATCAAATCGAATTGGCCATTTTGGTTGATTTCTAGTTGATATTCATCTGAGACGTTTTTGCAATAATAATATGCCAGTTGTGAATTCACAAATTAATATGTATTTATATTAATGAATACTTCATCCTTAGAAATTGTAAGAATGAACCGGGTGGACCCAAAATTACTATTTAGTGGAAGCGAGACAAAAAATGAGCTAAATATTTTGAGGAAAAGCCAAGGAAAATTTCAATCATTTTTGAGGTATGATGAATTTGACACAAAAAATTAAAAGAGAGAAAATAATAATGATAATAATAATAATAATAATAATAATAATAATAAGGGCATTATGAGAATTGAACTCGAGGACTTCCTAACATCCAAAGAAAGAATCATACGACTAAGCCCTTCATGGGTCCGTCCCTGAGAATGAAGCTAAAAAAAAAACGATCTTACAATGATGTACACATTTTTTCTTGACATTAGGAAAATTTAAAAAATCGAGGGAATTGATTGATCTTAGTTTAGAGTCTCATTAATACTTAGTCCGGTTCGATCCATTTTTTCTTTTTCATCCAGGTCGGACTGGACTATGTAAAGGATCGAGTTATTATATACGTAACCAAACACGACACTGTACTCGTCGAACACGATTTGACACGTGAAAGTGAATTTTTTTGTTTCGGTTGGGTGCAGGAATGGATGTCGTATTTGTCGGATTTTTTCTTGAATTATAAAGGTTGAGACGTCAGTTTCTATTTTAATGCTAATTAGATGACACAGCTCATGGTGCTACAGAGACAGACTAAACTGAACATTTAAAATAATGGGAAAAAGAATTATTCAACTATCAAATTTATAATATTACTTTTTGTCAAATATTTTAATTTGAGAAGATTTGCAAAAATCATGTCAATATTTACATGTGTTTACCTGTATTCACAATTGTTTAGCAACACACTATCAGTTTATCTCGCTCCTCGTGTTGTGATCAGGAAAGTGAAATTGCCTCGTTTGGTACCTATTTTTTTCAAAATATATTTTTCTCTCTCTTCTTTTTAACCACACATTCTTTATTAAAATAATATTACACGTAAATAAAAAAAATTTCATTATTTTTCAACTACACATTTCCCATCAATTTACTATTCAAAAATATATTTTCACATAAAAATATCTCCCAAACACCATCTCGAATAACAATTTGGCAAATATTATGACTTCTAATGTGTCTGTCGATTTGACTAGAAAATATAAATGCTAGGGTTTGTGATCATCGTTTCTCTACTTGTCTAGAATATATGTGAGACCTCTGTTTTATATGCCCCTATATTATGTGATTTTGGTATCTTTTTTATTTCATTTTTCCTCTCAAAATTGTGTTGAATGTACGTGTCCCCTCGTATGTCTCATACTTAAATTGTGTCAAATTCATAGCTTGTGTGACCCATACAAATGAAATTCAAAAATTGTGACACACGAACGCTGTGTTTTAAACTACCTCCATCCAGTAATAAAGTATAAGGTCTATTGAGTTCCGTGGTTTATCTGGTTGAACCTCCCTCTTTAGTCGGGAGGCAGACCAAAAGAAAATGTATGTCTAAACAATCTAAAAAGTGTATCGATGCTTCGAGCATCAGGTCATTCTTCTTTATATTTTATTGCTCTAGTTTCGAGATGTTGCAATTGTGCAATGTGGCATATATCTGTTCTTTAAACAAATGTGAATTATTCAATTGTTTGGTGTAATTAGAGTTTCTATGTCGAGATGACTACATTGAAAAAGCGAAAATACATAATAATATATTGCTCTATAAATCGGAATGAAGGAATGGTTTCAAAAGTACAAACGAACAAGAATCAGAAAAAATTCTCAAAAAGAAGGGTGAACTTTCTCTTTCCATAGAAAAATAAAGATGGTGAGCAGGTGAGGTAATTGGAGCTTGGGAAATTTGAATTATAAAAAATAAAATTTCAGATATTATTACCCCCAACTAACGGAACTCGTGTAAAATAAAATATAAAAAATAGATTTAAATTAGTTTTTATAATAAATATCTAATTTGACTGTATGATATGATTTGTGATATTGAAATGGACCCATAGTTTTATTCAGCCATTTTCTAGAATTTGGAGTAAACGTTCACATGGGCCAAAGAAATTTGAACCACACATTAATCACTTCTCGAGTACAATATTAAAGAAAGCCCTTCGATATTTCAATTTTCAAGTCATCAAACAACTGCATTTTTGTGTTCCACATTAAACAAAATTAATGTTTTGTTTGTTTTCTAAGTGAGAAGACATTTCCGTCGGTCATAATTAATGTATTAATGAAAATGTCATACATTAATTAGAATATAAAAGCATTGATATATACTAAGATGTATGTTTCTTAGATTGACTTAGTAGTCAAACAGATCGAAGTAATATATATAACAAGATATGAAGTATATGATCGGAAAAAAACAATGAGATAAAAGTCAAAGAATTAATGAAAGAGAAATGGAGTATTTTATTCGATTAACTAATATGGAGAAAACAAATATAATAAGTGTGTCTACCCAATTATTCTATAATTCATTAATATATAACTTATGAAAACAGTCTAGTATTTATAGGGATGCATGAAAAACCCTAGAAATATCACAAAGATGGAAATAAGATAAAAAAAATCAAATGGAATTAAGTTAAAATTATTTTCTCAAAAAATCCAACCTAATTTTGGTCAAAAAATTCAACAGTACCCACATTGACACAAATGAAACGAACAAAGCATCAAAATTTCTCTACCTCGATAAATAAATCCGATCACAATGAAAAATCTGAACTCTTTCAACAAAAACCAAACTTTTTCCAACACAAAATACTCCTCTTCCATGGTATCCAACATAAATACATGAACCCAAATACCGAGTTTCCCAAAATTCACAAAAAATCAGAAATTAACAAATAGTGTCGAAACACACGCTGTGATAGAATCAACTCTCAATACTTTCATAGAAGGTTCATCGCTAGTGAAATTATTCTCGTCTCTTCCCATATTTATTTTTCTCTTCCATACATAGTCTAGAAAGTCGATTTTTGAGGCTTTCACATAATGGGTCTGAGAGCCGAGACGGAGAAGATGCTTAAAAGACTTCTTATTTGAAGCAGCGCAGTTAGAGATTTCTTGTATTTGTGGCTTTGAACACAATTTCACTAAGAATAGGAATTATTCAAAGCCTGGGCGTGGTTGCATTACAAGTTGTTCAACAGCTGAAATCTGGAAATAAGTTCGCATTGAATGGCCGTTTAATTTTTGACAGTTTAGTATTAATTAGTGAGATAGGGAGTGATTCGTATTATGTCTAGAGATAGGAATATAATGGTCCATTCCTTTACGTCTTTTGCTACAACTTCCCCAACCGATATGGATTGGGCCAGTTGTCTTCCTCTATTTGCTACACAATTGAAGTAAGAGGATATAATTTTATACATCCAAAGAATTTAACTCTATTTAGATATTTAAATAGGAATGATCTAATAAGTATCAATACTCATCTTTTGCTTATCTTATACTAAATACTGATGATGTGTCATATTAATCCATTGATGGAAAGCAAACTAAATTCAAATGTTAAAATCCACTATATTAATATAATAATCCATCAATAGATAGATATGACATGTTCCCAACGCTTAATATAAGATGAACGTTGATGCTCGTTAGATCATTCGTCGAGATCAACTATGGTGTGCAAAGAAAAAGGAATATTGGAATGGGACAATACTACATGCTCTTTTGGTGTAAAGATTGTGTTTGACAAAAACAAATGAAGAAAGCATCCATATAATTTAGCACATTTGACTATCATTATTCAAAAATAATAATAATAATAATAATATTTTGAATAGTAATTTTTAAAAAAAAATATAAGGCTAAAAAATTGAACAAAATTTGAATTTACATATAAAATATTTTATTGTGTAAATGTATAGTTAAAAATGATTCGATAGAAAAAAGAATGTTCAAATCATGGTTGTCAGACGGGATTAGGATGCAGAAAAGTTAGAAATTTGCAGAAACTGTATCCTTTTTAACAGTTGGCATCAATAGGATTTTTATGATGTCAATTGATTTAGAGCAAGACGCACCTACATGAAATGGCTGGCTATTTATTAAAAAGCTTAATAAATTATACAATTTCCAAAAATTTCTTTAGAATTAGCATTATGTAGGAACAAATTGTACATAAGTCACCCAAATTGTTCATCACTAAAGCGAAAATTACATATTTACAAAGCAATGCACAATGAAACTTGAAAACACGGGCAAATAATCGAGTATTATCAAACTTAAAATGGTTGATTTCATTAAGAAATGTACCACATAAGAATGTTCAAAAGAAACCTCAATAGAAAAATATATCGCTAGTCGAAAAGGCAGCCTACATGATGCGTTTAGTCACACAAACTTCCCGAGAGAACTTGTCCGTCTGGAGAAAAGCAAACATACCAAAATAAAACTAGTCCTTGGATGATTTGTTAATGAGCGACTTGTGGATGTGGGGAATTACACCTCCTCCGGCAATGGTTCCTTTGATCAGAGTATCGAGTTCTTCATCACCTCGAATTGCAAGTTGGAGATGTCTTGGAGTAATACGTTTCACCTTCAGATCCTTACTTGCGTTGCCGGCTAGTTCCAACACCTCAGCAGTTAAATACTCTAATATTGCCGCAGAGTAGACGGCTGCTGTTGCTCCCACCCTCCCGTTTGCCATGGTTCTTTCCTTCAAGAGACGATGTATCCTACCAACTGGAAACTGCAGAAGTATTTATGGACGTACATTTCAAAAAATGATGAGACGTAGATGATATAATTTCACAAAGAATCATATACATGCGAAATGGTCAACCATAAGAATATTAGATTGTAGAGAATTTAAGGAAATACTTCAACTCAAATCTTGTAATTTTTGTCTTCATTTATTTACTATTTTCATTTTGGGTGATGGGAAAGTGGCGCACTGTTTCTTACCCCTCTTTAACAAAGGAGGAGGTTAAGCAGATTTGAATTACAAATACTGAAGATTGGTACAAATCCCCAAATCCAAGAATTCTCATGAAGTGTAGCTTTGGCATGGAGAACGGGGTAAGATTTTGGCTTCTTTCTCCAGTTGTATCCAATTGACGATACCAAAAACTATAATGGTATTGTTAAACTCTGGCAAATAAGGGTAAGAAAAACGCTGTTATGCCCAAATCTAACAAGATTATGCTATTAACCTTAGTTCACCAATGAATTAACAAAGTCATGAAATTCTTCAAAATTAAAGGTAGAGAATCATACAGAATATATATATCCTTCAGGTTGTTATTAGATAATGACTGACATAAAACTGCTGTCTGCTGATAAATATAACCACAGCAGCATCATATCGGTACCAAGAGGGATATTGCCTATTTGCTTGATTTGAATGGCTTTGGTAAAAGAAGTATCCTCCACGCACGCATTCAAAAGGTTGGCAGACTAAATTGAACTCAACTAACCCCTCTACTAAAGAACTTGTGAAACTATACAAATGTCCAGTATTCAAATTCAGATGAAACTAATCAAGATATGTACATTTTGCAATGAAACAATCCAGGTAATCACGATAGACAACTCCTCTAAACAAACACTAACGCACCATATACATGAATACTTTCAAAGTTTGTTTGGCACAACTTATTTGAAAATCTTTTTTCCTCATACGCATTTTCAATTACACATTCTTCCAACAAAATAATTTGCACGTGAGCCCATAACTTTTCTTCACTTTATAACCACGCCCAAAAAAAAAAAAAAAAAAAAACATCATTTTTCACTTCAAATAATCTCTCCCAACCAAACACTAATAAGTGAGAAAACTTGGACACACGCCGATGAAAATGGCAGTGCATATATATTGAGAAAAACAAAATTAAAAATCAAAAGCACCAGCAGCACTAAGTTATACAACCTTTTATATAACAATCGTGGTGTTATTACTTATAAAAGCATAGCTACAATTCTAAAGAGGATAAGGAATGCCATTGAACTCCATCTCCATAGAAATCCTAAAGGATGTTAAGCCCCCCGTTTGACCCCCATTCTCATTCTCATTCTTTTTCTCTCTTATTTTCAAACATTACACACAAATAAAAAACTTTTCATTATTTTTCAACCACACATTTTTCAAAAAAACACTATTCCAACCATTAAAATTCGGAAAGAATGGGGCCAAACGGGGGTTAAAAGTTTGGCTTTATCCTACAAGTCAGAACTTCTTGGTTCAATTTCTTTCAAAAAGTATACTGTTTCCCTCTGACCAAATACCAAATACATAGTTATATTTTCAAAGCTTAATACATATAAACGGGTTGCAAAATTTTCAAATGTACCTAAACAGGGCAAAGACGGGTAGTTTTCCAAATCAACAAGAGTTCGGAAGAATGGCTTGCGAGAAAAATAGCCCATTCACTATAATATCCACAACCTTCTGTCAAATTGAGAAGGTTTCAAATAAACTTTATCAAGATTAGTCAATAAAAATGACAAATCTGAAGTCTAGCAGTCCCTTGGAAACAGAGAATCCAATTCATTCTGTACCATTTTCCGATAGAGAATAAAATTTATAGGAACACATTTAAGCAAAGAAAAATTGTAGGGTCTAAAAAATGAAGAAGCATGGGGACATAAACAAACCCAACCTTCATCTCATAAACAAATCCTATCCCCCACAACCACATCCTATATTGCGAACTAGCTTAGAGTTGTTTGCTGACACACACTACTATCACTCCATGAAAAATAAGGAAATTCCTCATACATGAACTTTCAAGGGTTTTTGAGGGAACTTCTCACCATTCTTTTACTGTCCCACCCGTTTTTACAAAACAATACTTGCTTTAAACAATTACAACACATTTCTCAGATAACACTTGGTTATAGAGTCAAATGGTGGAGTGTGATTTGACTATCAATTGGTCCGATCTGTTAGCAGTCCATCAGTAGGTAACACAAGTAATCAGGTGAGTTGCATGTGCTCTATTAAATCTAGGCATGACTTAAAATCCAGAAACTCTGCAAACAACTCATGCTCATTTAATCATGACAATTAAGTCTCCTGAGACCGCGCAATCTAGAGTTACCTAGCCAAACTATGGTTATATCAATTAATCGCCACTTCAACTAAATGCAGAAATGCAATATATCCGGAAGTAGTTTAATCTTTGGGTTATTTGCATGGTCAGAGGGGATTTTCTGGTTAGACACATATTAGAGACTGTTCTTCCAGACTCTCATTACCAGTTGTTTGATGGGTGCCAGTTATGTCATGGTTATGAGTTAACATCATAGTATAGTTTATATTTCTCTGTTGAAGACTGCACTTGTCTCCATGTATATTTGTTCAAATGTGAAAGACACTACTGTTTTGTTTGAATTATGGGGCTATCAAGGAATCATCAGTTTTTCATTTCTTTGACTTTAATGTCGTCAAAAGAACCTTGCTATCTAGGGATGTCAAACGGGCTGAGCGGCTCATTGGCTTAGGCTCATCATTTAGCCAAGCACGGGTTGGATCAAAGGCTCGGCTTGTAAAAAATGTGAACTAAAGTTTGAAAACTTAAAAAAAAAAAAAAAAAATTAGAACTCGTGGGCCGAGCTCGTGTGTTTAAGCCGGCTCGACCCGTTGCCACCTCTATTGCTATCGCACCCTTTAGAGATATTATTGGAATTATGATATCACAATGATATGCTTACTCCACACCATGAGCAAACTTCTCTTTCGAGGACATTAGGTTTTCATCAAGCTGCTTTCGAACGTACAAGTAGTGGATGAGCATTGGCAATAGAACATCATACTCCTTCCATCCAAGATTAAAAGCAGTCTGTTCCTTTCCCAACTAGAAATTTGCCCATACTGTGGTGTGAACTTGATAAGAAAGACACAACTAATGGTACCTTAAAATCTCAAAAATTCGGGGTAAAATTGGAGGCCGTACGCCCCCTCGACAATTGCTAGCTTCTTTTTTTGCTTTCCTAAAACTGATTTTTCTTATATTTTTAATTCCAAAACAACTGTTGTGAAAATAAACATATTTGCTACCATAGTTGTTAAAAACATGACTTAATCATAGGATCGTAGTAGTGGCGGAGCTAGCACCCAGCGAGCACAACAGCCACCTGTGCTGGCAATTAATTTTATTTGCTCTTTTCTTTCTATTCTTTTTTTCAAAAATAGGGATCTACAATTTAAAACCCAAGCAAGTCTATTACTATTCTTGAAAAGAAAGTTTTCTTACCTCCTGTAGTTGAACAAATGAAATTGAAATCAAGCTTGAAGATTTCTTCTTGGTTCCTTCAATCTTGCTCTGCAACTCATTCTCTCATTTTTCTTTTCATTCTTCATTCATTTTTCCCTTCTTTCTTCATTCATTTTTCCCCATTCTTCTCATTTTCTCTTTCTCCCAATTTGGCTCCCTAGATAGTCCTAAAATGGTCAGGCGATGTATTGACTTGAAGACTTAAAACGATTAATAGCGGCCCCGGCTATCTTCCTTTTTATTTCACCAGATCATGGCCCCAGCCAACCAACAGTTCCTCGACTCCCTCCGCCCTTGCAGTGCTGCGGGCCCCGCGAGCTCTCTCTTCTATCTCTTTTTTAGTCCATTTTTATACCATTTTCTTTAATAACTTGAAGTGATATTTTATATATATTGATTGGTGAAAAATGATAGATGATGATTTATGAATTAATAGAGAATAGAGAATCATCTGTGACTTGCGAAAATAGATCATCTGTGAAAAATGGAACAATATTGTGGATGAAAATAGAGAATTGTGAATCTATGATTTATGAATTGTGAATTGGAACGATGAGCTTTGTGATTTGGAAATTGGAATTATTGTCTTCTTGAAATTGGAAATTGTTGTTGTTAACTTCTTGTTGTTGGTGACGTCTGTGTTATAACTTGAGTTGTATTGGTTTATATTTTCATATGTCTATGTATTGTTTTATATTTTCACTTGAGATTCTGGATCGTACGAGCCCATGTTCCAAATTTATTGAACTAATCTGGGATCACATGAAAGAAAGGAGTAAGGCACACTTAGTCCAACAGGGTAGTATGAGATTGGGTTGCAAGATACTTCGATCATGAATACCAGTTCACTTATTTGTCTCAAAGTACCTTATAAATTTTAGATTTTTATCATTTAAAATCATAACCACAAAACCTATAAATAAAGGTATAGGTACAGATTTAGTAGCACCAATCTATAGGAAGATGAATGGATTTGTAAAGCAATCAACAGTTGTCGATGTGTCGTTATTCTTCAATTTATGAATTTTTTGTAAGTTCTTTTTTCCTGTAGAAAACTTTAGACTTCTAAGTAGTTCCACCTTTTTGCTGGCCAATTTAGACTTAAAGAAGTCAATGTCAGGCCAAGAAAAAGACTAAAGCCATAAGACGTTCAATGCTGTTAAAAATCAATTCAAATTTTATTAAAATCACATATGTTCAAACATTGCATCCATCAGGCCAAAGAGGAGATGTTATACCACTAAAATATACCCTCCTTTTATATGTAGCACATAGATAGAACATTAGCACAAGTACAAATAGAGCCAGTAATATTTAGCAAAAATTTGAATTGTGGGTCAACTACAAAGTCAAACTCAAAGACTTCAAGACTTCTAATCATCAGGAATAATACTTCAGAAAAAGAGGAAATTTTTTATAAGCAACAGTGAAGTTAAGGCAACATGTGATTAATATGATGAAGATAATTTTTTTAACCACAACCCGACAAAAATGCTACTACATTTACCCTTTTCCTCCTATAACATGCCCTTTTTTTTCTTTTTTCTTTTTTTGTTGTGGGGGGTGTGGGGGTGGGGAGGGTACACAAGCATATACTTGTAAGGCTTCATATCTGCTAAGTGCTAATTTACTTTTACTGGCATTACCAGGAAGAGTTTATTGGCTTTCGGTTTACATTCTTATCATGTGTCTGTTGACTAATCATATTCATTTAGTCTATCATACAACACTTCCATATCTACCTTGTTGTTCTCCTCAACTTTAAAAGACTATTTTCGATTCTTCACTAGTTTAACAAGACCCTGAATAAACTCTAGTTATGCCAAAAGTACTCATAAATCAAAAAAGAAAGAAGAGTATTTTCTCTGAAAAGCAACCGCTAAGACTGAATAAAAACTCGTACATTGTAAAATAATAATCATAAATCAGAACGTTCCTTAAGAACAGACCTTACTCAGCAGCAGCCAATTTTCAGACCAAACACCAAACAGATAAACCAACACTCAATTACTCGAAAACTTAACGTCCTTATAACTACAAACACAACATCAAAAACAATCGAGACACTACAACCGTTCCGAAAACACCCAAAAACTTAACAACAAAACAAATCATATTCAAACCCCCCAAAAATATTAAAGAAACTCGAAACAGGTACACGAATCCAAAATAATTTTACAAATTCTAGAAGGTAGAATGAGGATAGGAGTGCACCTGGAGTCCCGCACGAGACGATCGAGAGATGGATTTCTTCTTATCCTTGTCCTTGCTTCCCCCTGCGACCGACGATTTGGCCATAATCAATCCTTTTGCACCTTTTCCCGACATTTTCACGCCGATTTATTCGATAATACTCAAATCTATTTCGAATTAATCGTAGATAGAGCTAGACGACGAAGACGATGAGCAGAGTGATGATCCGTGATTGGGGTGGATATTTGGAGCACAATGACGCAATTACTTTTCAACATTCGTAGATTTCAATGGATTAAATCCACCAATGCCATCTCAGTGTCACAATCATCATCCAATTTGATGTCGACAGCTTTCTATTTGACTGTTACCATTCCTTTTTTTGTCATGTAAATGTCAATATTAATGTAATGATTCTTTAAATATTATAATATATGTTCTAATCTTTTAATCATTTTATTCTCTGTTTACTCTATTTTAAATATTGGAAAATAAAATCATTCTATGATCTAATATATAAGAATAATCTGCAACATTCATCTCATATTTTCTAATTAAAATACTATATCTTTCAAATGGTAAATTTGGATTTTTTAATTGAGATATAATATTCTTTATTTTTTCTAACATTCTTTATAATAAATTATCTAATCCTTCAACTGTATATCTTGACATTTATCAAAATAATCATCATACAATTGTCCATGCGATTCTTTTAAGACCTTTAAAAGATTCATTCTAATTTTAGTAAAAGTTTAATAGTTTTACCTTAGGTTTGATCTAGACATGTATTCTTAGAACCGAGTGACCTTCGAGCTCTGAATTTGTAAACTGCTTCCTTCAACGGCCTCCTGCCTTCACGGAATTGTTACTGTTTCAGCTACTTGCTCTCACTGTATCAACTTCTAAAGAATAAAACTCTAGACTTCTGTTAAGGAAAACTCTCTTTTTGCTAAAATAAGAATGAAACTTTCTATTTGATCTTTCAAGAATCTATGGGGAAAAAATTTAGAAACTCATATTGATATCAAGATATTGGAATTTTATTTCTATTAGGATTGATACAACACTTTTATTTTGGTACAAGGGGTTTTCAGAAAAAACTGATTTTAAAAACTGAGAATAGGCTATTGCTTTACAACTCGAGAATTCAAGATAGGATGAGATGATTTTCTTCTATGGTAATGTCTCTATTTATACAAGTTTTTTAAACTCTATTATATCGTTGAATACATCAGCAAGGTACACTTGCCTTTCTATTTTCTTCCCTTTGGGCCTACATCTTCACATGTTGGTTCAACTTTTCTATCCAAAGAGCATCTTTTTCTATTATTGCTCTTTATTTTCAATATCTTCACATGTAGTATTATTGCCCTTCATACACAAGGTGCTTTGTCCTCTTCTTACATTTCTTCACATGCAGTTGGGGCACTCCCTTAGTTGGCCGGATTCTTTTATAGTGGTAGGACATTCAGGGAATTGATGTATATCAAATCTTGTAATATAGTCTTTTAAAATTTCTAATTTTGCATATCCTCCATTGGATACTAGCATCCAATTCTCATATTGGCATAGATACGAGAATTTTTTATCAAACAAGTTTTTGGCAATGTTGTAGATGACTTTAATTCCAAGTGCTCTTCTATGTCTAATCCATGATTTTGTTACTTTGGGACTTTTATGTTGTTCTCCGTAACATCAATTTGAAAATAGGCTGCAACATACCCAATTGAGATTATGTGTTCAATTGGATAGTAAACAACTCCATCATATTCTGAACTGATTGAATAGAATTTTAAAAATATCTTCTTTCTTTTGGCAAATCTTGAAACTTCTTTAATGAATATATCATCAAACTTCGAGATTTCAATAAAATCTTTTCCTGGATAAATCAAATCCATGAATCCATAGTCTGTCATGATTTTTATGAATGAAAGGTCGCATCCTTCCATGACTGTTATTCTGAGATAAACATTAATTCCCGGAGAAATGAAATATGAATCACTTATCTTTATTTCATAAGCGATTTTGACTATTTTGGCATATTTTTCTTCGTTTAGATCTAAAGGGATTTTATCTTCTTGGTCTATGATACTGCTTGTTTTGGTATCTCTTTTATCTCCATGTATCATAACTTTCTTGGTTGATGATACAAAAATTGAATCTCCTTTATTATTGGTTGGTATGTTATCACGTCTGGGTCCACTGCTGCTTCCAGCTGTCCCTGTTTGATATTGATTTGGAAAACTCATTTCTAAGCTCTTTGGTATATCTGTTTCAAACAATATATTTTTCAGTTGTGCTGCAATAGCATCAACTTGATTTTTGAGTTCAATGGCATATTTATGATTTTCAGCAGTGATATTCAATAATATATTCATATTTGAGTTGAACATCTCTGAGATTTGGGTTGTTCCAGAACCTATATCTTCAGATTCTTCTTTAAGAAAGTTTGTCCTTTCTTGTATATGTAGAATGGATTGATATAACTCCATGACCTTAGCTTTATCCAGCAACAAATTCTATGTTTCTGTTGAGAAAATTTGCAAGAAAATTATTAACTCCTTTAATATGGATTATATCAAAGTTATAGAATGCTAAACAAGCTTGCCATCTATGAAGCCTTTTGTATTGTGGTTCTGAGGGTAACTTATTCTTGACTAATTCTGCAATTTGAGAATTATCAGTTTCAACAATAAATTTCTTGGATAATAAAAACAATGAGAACTTTTTTATTCCTCTAATAATTGCTAATAATTCTTTTTCATGAGTAGTATAATTTATTTCTGTTTGGTTAAAAGTTCCACTCGAGTATCTAAAAATTTCATTAAGATCTGTTTTTAATATTGCAGCCCAATATTTATCTGAGGCACAGTATTAACAATTAAATTATCTTTTTCATCTGGTAATCTTAATTTTGGTAGATTTTTGCATTCTTCTTTTAATGATCTAACTATTTCTGTATGTTCTTCATTCCATCCCTTCGTATTTGTTTTTCTAAATAAAACTTGGATTTTATGTTTTTTCTTAGAAAGATTTTCAATAAATCCTTCTGCATAATTTAAATATCTTAAGAATTTCTGAATTTGTTCCTTGGATTCTAATTTATCTGGAAAACTTTCTATCTTTTTGGATATATGAGTTTGTAATTTTATCCCTCTTTTATCTATTGATAATCCAAGAAAGTTTATCTCTTATTTTTTATTATAAATTTCTTTTTAGTTAGTACAATCCATTCTTTTTTACATTCATTAATAAATTGGATTAAATGATTTCTATGTTCTCATTTACTATTAGAACATATTAATATATCATCAATATAAACTATTAGAAATTCATTAAACTTTTTAAATATATTATCCATCTTTCTTTGATATATTTATGGTGCATTTTTTAAACCAAATGACATAACTAACCATTTATATTTTCCTTGAGGTGTGCTAAATGCAGTATATTGTATACTATCTTCTTCCATTTTTACTTGTCAAAATCCTGATTTACAATCAAATTTAGAATAGTATTATTTTCCTTTTGTAAGATTTATTAGTACTTCTTTATTTGGTAGAAAGTAATCATCAAATTTAGTAATTTATTTAATTCTTTATAATTTATAACCATTATAACTTTTCATCTAATTTGTTGAGAGTGGTTCATAACCATAAAGGCTAGACTACAATGAGGTCCATTACTAGGTCTAATAAGTTTCTGTTCTAATAATTCTTTTATTTATTTTTTAAATTATTGTGTCTTCTATTGTATATATCATTGGTCATATTCTTATTATAACGTTTTCTGTTAATTCTATTTTGGCTTTTGGGTGATATGGTTTCCAAAGTAATAATGAATTTTCTGCATAAACTTTTTCTAATTGTTCAATTATTTTTTCTATACTCATTTTTATTCCTGTCTTTAGAACCTTCTTATATAATATTCTTTTATTTTTTTTTTCATTATTAAGAATTTGTTTTTTCTCCCATTTATCACCACGTTGGGCTGGCTGAACTCTATAAGGTTTAAATTCTCTAAAAAATTTTAATAAGTGTCCACAAAGTGTTTGTAACATTATCATATAATTATTTTGTTTATAATATTGAAATTGTTGTATGAAATCATTTCCTAATAATATATCACATTCTAATTTATCATATTTATAAATTTTGTTTATTGTTACTTGTTTACTTCCAAGAATTATATTAACTTTATCAGCACTATTAATTATTTGAATACTTTCTCCTGTAACGCCAGTTATTTTTATATTGCTATTATTATTCCATGATTTTATTAAAAAAAATTTAAATATTGTTATATCGCTTCCTGTATCTATCAAAGCACAAGTTGTTATATTTATTTCTACAATAGTAATTTGTATATACACAGTTAATGAGAAACTTATCTGATTATTCATCTAATATTTTTTACATAATGAAGTTTGTCCATTATGAACAATATATAATCCTTGTTTTTTTATACTATAATCTTCTAATCCATTTAGAAAACTCATTCCTAAAAATATATGAGGATTTATATCCATACTTCTATCTATATAACATGGTACTAAGAGATCTATTCCTCCTATTTTTATTGGTACCTTAACTTCTAAATCTGTTATATGTACTTGTCCATCAAAATTTACATATTTATATAGTTCAGTTTTATGAGTTATTAGTCCTTTGTTTCTAATCGAAGCTATATGACATTCACTGGCTCCTGTATCTATTAATATATTTGATCCATTTATATTTTCTCTTCTATTATAATATTCTCCTTCTATTTTCATGTTTCCAGCGTTCCTATATAATTTTATTTCTTTTATTTTGTTGATATCTTCTAACTGGTTTTTATTTGGCATTTTAAGACTTTTTGATCTTTTGATTAATTTTCCATCCTTAAATGTTATATTATTATAATATTCTCTTTCATTTAATTCTGTTATTTCAGGTTTATTTTTTGCTATGCTAAATTCATATTATTCTGGAATTAAACTTATTTGTTTATTTGTTTATATTATTTTACTAATATCTTTACATTCTTTATGAATTTCAATATATGATTTATTGGAATAAATATTCTCATAATTAGAATTGGTAAATGTGTATAAAACTCTATATTCTATAGTCATAATTTAATCATCTGGTTACATAATATCATCTCTATGAAGCTTGAAATGTAGTCCTAAAATTTCATTAAAGTTTCTATCTTTCAATGATACACGATATTTTAGGTAACATGTAAACATGATTTTTTGACATGCTAAATTTCCTTTTATTGTTCCTAAATGACTATCTTTTAAGTTTATTATTCTTCCATCATGTAAAGTTATAGTTAAGGGTGAGTTTATCCCTTTTCTAAATAGTGATTTAAACATTTTTTGTATTCCTGCTAAATAAATATATTGGATTTTTTTCACTTTGTTTTTTACTAATCTTTGTTAATAGTTCATCAACTGTATTTCTTGTTAAAAGATTTAATTTATATTGCTCATGAGTTGTTCTTACATCTATGATTTTTTCTATTTTGTGATATTCGTTTATTGCTATTCTTTCTCTTTTCCAAATCCTATCAAAGACTTCCCATTTTCCTATTTTTAAGTCTAACGATAATTTTTACAATTTTCTAAACTTGTTATTGTCAAAAGTAACTTTTAATCCATATCCTTCTATTCCTTCATATTCTTGTATATTTATATTATTACTTTCTATTTCTTCAATTTCTTTATTCAGATCCTGATCCACCTTCTTCTGTTTCACTTCTATATACTTCTTGATCATAATATTCTTCAATATCTGATATTTCACTTAATTCATCTTTTATTTCTAAATATTCTTTTTGTAATATTCTTACTTTCTTTTTATCACAATCAGAACTTATATGACCTATCTCTCCACAATTCTAACACTTACATTGGCTTTTATTTTTTTTATAATTCTTATTTTTCTGTTGATTATATAAGTTATTTTTTCTTTTATAATACTTTCTTTTAGATTTTATATATTTTTTATTAAAATTTCTAAATTTTTTAAATTTTTTATTTTTATATTTTATTTTATTAATTCTTCTTTCAGGATTACATCCTCAATGCACAGGAATTTCCATATTTTCACCACATATTTTAGTTAGTTTTCCTTTTTTTTATTAATTGCCTTTGTTGACATATATATGCAAGTCTTTCAAATAAAAAATTTATTCTTGAACCTAAAGTCCTAGGTATTCCAATATTATCTCTAACATATTTTTCAAATTCTATTTTAAAATATATTCCCCATAAACCTGATAACTTATTATAATATATGTCTTGGTATACTTCTTAATTTTCATTATTATAAAATTGAACATAATAGTAATTTCTAAATTCACAAGTATATTCTTTAATTTTATATATATCACATATTGTTAAATTTATTAATTTTATTCTAACATTATCTTTTTCTCCTATTGATTCCTTTTCAACATTTCTTATCCAATTTTCTCCTAAAAATTCATCTGAAATATATTTCACTAATTTTTCTATACCTTGTCTATTGATAGATATGATTATTTCTGTTTGTACATTTCTTTTTATTAATGTTTTTGTATCATTGCTTATTCCTTCCTACCAATTTCTAACATCTCCTTCAAAGGATGCTATTAAGAAATCTATTCATTTTTCAGTATTTTCCCACGTGTCATCTTTGTTATATAAAAAGAATAATATCATCGAATCTGCCCCAAGTTAATAAGGCTTTTTTAGTATCTATTTTACAATTTAAATCTGGTTTTGTTCCTCCATGCTCGATTGGTTTATTATAATTATCATTTAGTTCAAATTTATCCTTATATTTCCTCTGGGTCGTTCTCTATCTCTTATTTTGTCATAAAATCGTCTATATGGTTTATTATATATAGGTGCATAACTTTTATATGTATCATGTAATTCATGTTTAGAAGTTCCTGATAGATTAAGTCTTCCTCCAGTATTTATTAAAATTTAGTATTCACTAATATCAGTTAAGTTCAATTGATCAAAATTTCTATTAACAAATCTAACTCTTCATTCATCTTCTTTTCTTCTACTTTTAATTCTCCTAATGCTTTTTCTCTAGTTTCTTCTTCTTCTAATATCTTTGGTAATATATTTTTTTAAATTCATCATCCATACTTCATGTTTCTATTACTATATTTTTTTTTCTATATGTTTCTTTCCTATCCGAGTCATTTCTTTTTCTATAAGATTTTTATCTATTTTCTTATTTTTATTCTTATTATTTTCTTTTAATTCTCTAATCTCAATTTTTAATATATTTATATCATTTCTTGTTTCTTTTACTTCATTTCTCTTATTGATATCTTAATTTTTTCCTATTTCTAACTCATAGGTTAATTTGCATATTTTATCTTCTTTTTTATCCATTATTTTTCCAAATCTTCTCTCAGCTATCTCTGAATCTACTAATTCTTCTTTTACTATAGTAAAATATTTGCTTTCAAATCGTAGTCTTTCACATTTTAATTTTGCTAATTGTCTATTATTTGGTATTCTCATTCCTTCTTGTATTAACATTATTTTTCTTATTTCTTCTTGTATTTTATCCATTTTTAAAAGTAATTTATTTAATTTTTGATGTGTATTATCGCTTGTACTCATACTTTTATTTCTTTATAATATAAATTAATTTCTTCATCTAAATATATATCAATAATTTTCTCATATATATATTTTTCTTTTATTGTTTCTATTATTAATTTTTTTAATATTTGTTCCTTTATTTCCTTAGGTAATTCTTCAGTTATTATTAGTGTCATTAATTTATTGTTAATAGGTTTTAGAAATATATAACTGCCTCTTTCTTCTTCTAATTTATAATGATTATTTGTTTTTCTTATTTTTATTTCCATGATATCTATAATTTATTATTTTAAAGATGTATAATTTAAATATTCTTTTAAATGTCTATTATTTAAATTATAAAGCCTAGGTGTCAATATGTATCTAAAATTTTATTTCTCTAAATAATTTATTTGTTATAAATTTTCTCATGATCAATATGTTTTTGTAAAAATTTATATATGTTAATTTAAGAATTATAATCTAAAAGTTTTCTTATTATCTCTATGGCTCTGATACCAATAATGGGGGCTACTTAGAGCGAACAAAAATCAAATAAATCAAATAAAAATATTAATCAAATAAATCAAATAAAAATATCAAGTTTCAACCAATGTCTAAATTTTTAAGGACTAAAATAGAAAATTTTTATATTATGGTACCTTGTTATGTAATATTCAAATGGAGGGCATTTTTGGTATGAAATTTGCCTAAGGGCCATTTTGGAAAACTAACCCTTTTGAAAATATCATTTCCATGTATTTCCCTTTGATGTCACATAGTCACTCAATTTAATTTTATTTCAACGTGATCATTCAATTTATTTTGGCCAATCAACTTTATTTCACTAATTTTAAAGGGTTAAAGCGATAACTTTGCATTTAAAATTAAATTTAAAAAGTTAAAATAAAACTTATTTTATAAAAAGTTAATTACAAAAAATAAAATAAAAACTTATTTTGAAAAAAGCTGTTTTTAAAATTTTAAAAAAATAAAAAATTTATTTTTGTAAAACAAAATCAAATAAGGTGATCATGCTGACTAAATATAAAGTTAGATGGTCATTAGTGATCATGGTGACTAAATATAAAGTTAGATGGCCATCAGTGAATTTAACCCATATTTCAATATAATCGTGTTTCTTTAGGTAAATCGCACAAGGGATCATCAATGTTCACAATACTTGCAAATAGGTCACTGGACTTTGATTTGGACTTTAATTTACAAGCAATTAGGTCACTCAATTTGAATTTTGTCAATGAGACTGATGAAAATGTTCATCAAATCTAATGATGTGCAAACATATCAATCAATTACTTAAAGATGTCAACGAGTCGAGTCGCTCGAGCTCGACTCAGGTAAAATTATCGAACATTTTTTGTGCCCGAGCCGAGCCAAGCAAAAGCTCAACAAAAAATAGGCTCAATCCGAGCTTTTGGCTCGGACCTTTTTTAGCCAAGCCTGGAGGGCTCAATTTATTTTTTTTATTTATTTTTTTTTTTTTTAAATATGAAGGAAGGTGCTTTTTTCTAAGGTAGCAACCTGCTGCCTTTAATTTTATATTTTTATTTTTAATATATAAATATAGGCTCGTGAACTCGAGCCGACTCGGACTTTGCTCGGCACCTCAAAATGGGGTTTGGCTCGAGCCTCGAGCTTTTTTCAAGCCAAGCAAAGCCACAGGCGGTCCGAGCCGACGAACCCGACTGCCATCCCTAATTAATCCTACCAGCGAGGTTGCTCGACTTTTATCATACTAGAAACAAGGTGACTAAACTTTTACCATACTTGTAACTAGATCGGTGAACTTCAATTTAATGCCATCAATTGAACATACTCTAATTTATGATCAATCAAGTCTCTTTGTTTAGTGAAGAAGTCAAAATTTTAGGGTTTCTTCCATGCGTGGAGTAATTGGAGATGGACTTTCGACTAATCGTAATGCTAATGTGCAATAGGGAATTATGGATTGCAATGGACGGCTAAGGACAGTCATCCCCCATCCTTGCTCCGTCTAGATTTTTGAGAGGTAGGGACGAGAGCCTAATTAAGAGAATCTTTATTTAAAAAGAGTGTCTTCTGCATAAAAGAAATTTTTTTCAAATATAGAGAGATATATATTTATACAATCTAATAATACTCTCTATTCTGGTTCTTCATTTTTTTTTCAAAAAATATTTATTGATTTATCTTTATCTTTTATTTAATTTTATTTTTTATGTCTATTGTCAATCAATTCAAATAATATCAGTAGAGCAAACTGTATCTTAAAACCAAATTCACTCTCTTTTCAACTTTTTAAATAAAGTTTATAGAAGCTTATTTTTAGGTATTTGCTCTATAACATAGAGAGCATACTATTTTTTAAACAGTCATTTGAGTATGCTCCAATAGTTAAGAATAAATTTCAAAAGTTTCATATTTTAACTTTTTAAAATAGAAATATGTTTCATTACTTCACTTCTTAAATTTTTTTTAAATCATATTTGAATTAATTGTCCATTGACATATAAAAAATTATGATAAATATATGAGAATAAATCAATAAATATTTCTTAAAATAAAATTGAAGAACCAAAATGTAAGGATTCTTTTTTTTTTCTGAGCGTATAAAGAATTTTAAAGATGCTCTAAGAGTCTAAATAGAGAAATCTCTTCGAGACGTTAATTCTCTTGGAAATGTTTCTACAACTTAAAAATATGGTGCAATTAGATAATTAAGATGCAAGGTAATAAATACTAGAATTTTACAAATTGCAGGACTAACAAGGTGGAATTTTGTGTTGTAGTACACTTTCCAATTGAAATTAACAAGAAACCTAATTCTTGTAAGCATCCTAAAAATACACAGTTATTCTTTATGATGAACAGATGCTACACATAAGATCCTGTTTGGAGAAAAGCTATAGGCAGATTAAGAAAGAATGCAGGGCTCGCGCCAATAAGAGACCTGCCAAGTATCTTAAATTGTTCAAGAATCAGCATCACAATAAGGATGCAGGGAGAAAAAAACTGTGCACCTCTTTGCTTCTTCTTGTGATTTCACCAATACATTTACAGGGGTCTTCTGTGTTTCTTCAATTGCTCGGCTTGTAGTGAGCTTCCCGCATTCAGGTCCCCGGAAATGTGCTACCTGTACTTGATAAGATAATGAATGCACACACTACTGAAAGTGAAAACACAGAAACCCATGTATTTTCAGAGTACATCTCCATGGCATCAGTAAAGGAAAACCGGGTTCGACTTTCTGCCCAGTTGCGAAGTCTATCTGCCTCTGCAGCGTAAAGTGCTCGTCCCTGAAAAATCTATATTAATTAACAACTTTATATGAAGGAATACAACATCAAATATCAAGCCAGATCTTCCTGCTTTGTTACATCAATGGATTATATAACACCAAAAGATTTTCTTTGAGGGAAAAAATGGAAATTCTGATGTACCATGTGGAGCCTATTGTCACGGACTTGCTAATTTCCTCCAAGAACCGTGCGGCCTTAGTGTCTTCAACTTCCGCCCCCGCGGTTATTACACTAAGTCAGCCTCCCGATTGGCGTTGATGTCTTAGAAAGGTACTAAGTAGAACACTTTAAGAAAGGGACAATGAAGGAACACATGAACTTACAAAGAAGGCTTTGTATTGAATAAGGATATTCTTTACAACTTCACTCTCTTGATGCCTTCAAATGAATCCTACCAAACTATTTATAGTAGTAACCTCCTCAAATGGATGGCTAGAATCTTTTCTATCCAATGGTCTAGATTACACATCTAGAATTATCTATACAAATATTTACATTAAAATATTTATGGACTAAACTAGGATGATCTAGAATAATTCACCAAGTGAGGAGCTTGTAGGCGTCTAGAATGTCCCACCATATTCTAGCAATCTTCATGCACTTGTGGGAGTCTAGAATATTCCGATTAGCCTCAAGTCGTCAACATTTTAAATTTCTCGATCTTCTTGTACCAAAAGCGAGCGAGTCGTGACATTCTCCCCTGCCTATTTGGGCGACGCCCTCGTCGCCGAGTAATGCTTTAGTTTGTCTTCAAACTGCCACAAGTCTTCTTGACGTTCCCACGTTGCTTCTGACTCAGGCAATCCCTTCCACTTTATCAAAAATTGTTGGCAAGGAGGCACTCCACGCCTTCGAACAATGCGATCTGCTAGAACCTCATCAACCTACTTGTCAAATGACTTAGTCACAATCGGAGGTGCCCGTTGTGACTCCCCTCGGCTAGGATCATAAGATTGAGTTGGAACCGGGTGTCAAACAACCATCCATGGCACCCTATCGGATGGCACCACCAGAGCTGGAAGAACTTCGAAAGCAATTGACGGAGTTGCTTGACACGAGGAGGATATGACCTTCGAAGGCACCTTATGGCGCTCCGGTCTTGTTCCAAAAGCAGCATGATGGATCGTTACGCATGTGTATAGATTACCGGGCGCTCAACAAGGTAACAACTAAAAACAAGTATCCTATTCCTTTGATTGCTGATTTATTTGATAGACTTGGTAGTGCAAAATATTACAAAAAGGTGGATCTACAAAAGGGATATTACCAAGTACGGATTGCAGAAGGGGATGAGCCTAAGACAGCATGCATCACTCGATATGGCTCATTCGAATGGTTGGTAATGCCTTTTGGCTTAACCAACGCCCCGACCACATTTTGCACATTGATGAATAGGATTTTCCAACCTTACTTGGACAAGTTCGTGGTGGTATACTTGGATGACATTGTCATCTATAGCGACAACTTGGAGGATCACGCAAAACATCTCCAAACAGTGTTCCAAGCATTGTGGGAGAATGAGCTATACATCAAAAAGGAAAAATGTTCCTTTGCCAAGGAGGAGGTGCACTTCCTTGGACATATCATTGGCCACGGGCGCTTGAAGATGGACGAGGCAAAAGTAAAAGCAATCAAGGAGTGGGAAGCACCAACCAAGGTAACCGAACTTCGTTCTTTCCTTGGTCTAGTTAATTATTATCGGCAGTTCATCCAGGGCTACTCAGTGAGGGCAGCCCCACTAACGAACCTATTGAAGAAGAATAAGACATGGGATTGGTCCGAGAAATGTCAAACGGCCTTTGATGATTTGAAGGCGGCCGTGATGGA